GGTGCAGGGAGGGGGGTAGCTAGGGGCTTTGTGCAGGTGGGATGGTAGCTCAGGGTGCAGGGAGAGCAGTAGCTAGGGGCTGTGTGCAGGCACAGGGGTAGCTCAGGGTGCAGGGAAAAGGGTAGCTAGGGGCTGTGTGCAGGCAGGGGGTAGCTCAGGGTGCAAGGAGACAGGTAGCTAGGGGCTGTGTGTGGGCAGGGGGTTAGCTCAGGGTGCAGGCAGGGGGTAGCTAGGGGCTTTGTGCAGGTGGGATGGTAGCTCAGGGTGCAGGGAGAGCAGTAGCTAGGGGCTGTGTGCAGGCACAGGGGTAGCTCAGGGTGCAGGGAAAAGGGTAGCTAGGGGCTGTGTGCAGGCAGGGGGTTAGCTCAGGGTGCAGGCAGGGGGTAGCTAGGGGCTTTGTGCAGGTGGGATGGTAGCTCAGGGTGCAGGGAGAGCGGTAGCTAGGGGCTGTGTGCAGGCACAGGGGTACCTCAGGGTGCAGGGAGGGGGGGTAGCTAGGGGCTGTGTGCAGGCACAGGGGTAGCTCAGGGTGCAGGGAAAAGGGTAGCTAGGGGCTGTGTGCAGGCAGGGGGTAGCTCAGGGTGCAGGCAGGGGATAACCAGGGGCTGTGTGCAGGCAGGGGGTTAGCTCAGGGTGCAGGCAGGGGGTAGTAGGGGCTTTGTGCAGGTGGGGTGGTAGCTCAGGGTGCAGGGAGAGCAGTAGCTAGGGGCTGTGTGCAGGCACAGGGGTACCTCAGGGTGCAGGGCAAAAGGTAGCTAGGGGCGGTGTGCAGGCAGGGGGTAGCTCAGGGTGCAGGGAGAGGGGTAGCTAGGGGCTGTGTGCCAGGAGGGTGCCCCTGCAGTCCCTGTTCCAGGAGGGCTCTGCCAGCCATGGACCTGGGTCCCCCTTCCCCGGTGGCTGATACCAGCTGCATGAGCTAAGGGGCTGGGAGCTGAGGAGCAGCTTCAACCCGAGGCACCAGCAGGAGACGAGGGAACACCCTGGCTGCCTGCTCCATGGCACCAGCCAGAGCAGCAGCTGCTCCGCACTGCCCAGCTCCGGCTTCCCACCTCCGATCTGGCCAAGTCGCAGGGAAAGAAGGACATGGGAGTGTGTGGAGCTGCCCCCTGCCCTGACTGCCCTGCTCTTGCACTGTAGTTTTGGGGGGGAACAATGCCCCCTGTGCCTCCCAACTCTGCCCATGGGTTCAGGGTTTCTGCCCCACCATGGGGAGCACCAGGGCTCGGGGCCCTGGGATTCAGCCCAACCACTCACAGCTTCAGTCCCACGTGGGGTACTGGGGATCAGGGCTTCAGCCCCACAGCTCCTGGCTTCAGCCCATGGGGGGCACTGGATTTCAGCCACGGGGTCTTGTGGCCCCCCCGAAAGGGCTCGCAGACCCCCAGAGGGCTGCAGACCACTGGTTGAGAACCACTGATGCAATAGATCTAGTGTACTTGGACTTTCAAAAAGCCTTTGACAAGGTCTCTCACCAAGGCTCTTAAACAAAGTAGGCAGTCAGGGGCAGCCTCTTGGATCAGTCCCTGCTTAAAAGATATGAAACAAAGGGTAGGAATAAAGGATCAGTTTTCACGGCAGAGAGAAGTAAATAGCAAGATCCCACAAGGATCTGTACTGGGACCAGTGCTGTTCAACATATTCATAAACGATCTGGAAAAAGAGGTAAATAGGGAGTTGACAAAGTCTGCAGATGATACAAAATTACTCAATATAGTTAAGTCCAAAGGTGACTGAAGAGTTGCAAAGGGATCTCACAAAACTAGGTGACTGAGCAAGAAAGTGGCAGATGAAATTCACTGTTGATAAATGCAAAATAATGCACATTAGAAAACATAATTCCAACTATACATACAAAATGATGGGGTCTAAATTAGCGGTTACCACTCAAGAGAGAGATCTTGGGGTCATTGTGGATAGTTCTCTGAAAACATCCACTCAATGTGCAGCAGCAGTCAAAAAAGCTAACAATGCTAGGAACCATTAGGAAAGGGATAGATAAGAAGACAATAAATATCATAATGCCACTACATAAATCCATGGTATGCCCATTGCATGCAATTCTTGTCATCGCATCTCAAAAAAAAAAATATCAGAATTGGAAAAAAAAAATACAGAGAATGGCAACAAAAATTATTAGGAGTATGGAACAGCTTCCATATGAGGTTAATGGAAGTTAAAAAGATTGGGACCTTTCAGCTTGGAAAAGAGATGACTGTCCGTGAGGTTATGATAAAGTTATATAAAATCATGAATGGCATGGAGACAGTGATAGGGAAGTGTTATTTACCCTTTCACATAACATGAGAATCAGGGGTCACCCAATGAAATTAATAGGCAGCAGATTTAAACAACCATAAGGAAGTATTTCTTCACACTACACAGTCAACCTGTGGAACTCATTACCAAGGGATGTTGTGAAGGTCAAAAGTATAAACTGGGTTCAAAAAAAGAATTAGACGAGTTCCTGGAGGATAGGTCCACCAATGGCTATTAGCCAAGATGGTCAGGGACGCAACTGCATGCTCTGGGTGTCCCTAAACCTCTGACTGCCAGAAGCTGCCAGAACAGTGCCCTGTTTTGATTAAGTGCCCTGTTTTGTTCATTGCCTCTGAAGTATCTGGCACTAGCCACTGTTGGAAGACAGGATACTGGACTAGATGGACCATTGGTCTGGCCCAGTATGGACATTCTTATGTTCTTATTCGACCAAGTTTTTGCCAAAGCTAATCACTATTATAGATGCTGTATGCACTTCATGCCACAAACAGAGTAAGAAGCAGCAGAAACCTCTCTCAAATCTACTGCTAGGTGGAAACAGTCTCTGTATTACCAACTCTCCTTGCTCCAAAGACTTCTGTGTTCACTTCTGTCTCAAACAAATCAACCCCTTCATTTCTAAGGAAATCTGAACTCATGAGCTAATAGGTCAACTTAATTTTCTTTTTTCAAAGAAGCAATAAAAATGTCAATCCCATCTCTATATTAAATGCATCTCGCTGCTTTAAAGTTACACAAATTTATATACTAGCAAAGGCAAAGAAATTAAATGGTAAGTTATTTCATCCTTATTTAACTCCATAAGAAGTATGGTCCAAATTGTGTCCTCAGATATGCTTGAGAATTAGAGGAATTCAGGATATCCACTAGCGTTCTCTTTAAAGACCCACAAGAGTTTTATATTAATATGTGATTAATATTTTACAGTGATTAGACAGGGGAGCAGCAGCCTTTCTTGCTTTTGTTAGTTAACACATCAGTCAAAAATAATGTTATTGTAATATAGTATTTGGAGCTTAACTTTGTTTGGGGTTCTTTTTACACTAGCTAAAAAAAAATTACTTCCTCGAGCTCTGTTTTAATTCACACTGTGGTACACAGAGGTTTATTGAAGTGCACTTTTTTTTCTTGAATCTTCATTTATTTGATATTTATAGACTTTTCTCTGATACTTCTCATCAACATTAATGAATTAAGCTTGACAATCAAGAATTAGAAACCAGTGGGGTTGGGCTAGCAAATATAAAATTGGACAAGCTACTAGTAGTAGAATAATGTAACATCTCAGAATACTATATATTATAGGTTTATATGTGAGCTCTACTTGATTGCTGTATTTTTCACATTCTGCAAGTTTTCTTTACATGACTTTTTCTTGCTACAAACACAACATAATCATTAATGCAGTGCACTGATGTTGGAACGGCTCCCTATAAACCACTATAACATGACATCTCACACAGATCATTCTATTAAAATCTCCATACCATGCATTGCCATAATACATCAGATCACTTCAGTGAGCTCTCAACATTTACTTTATCAAAGACCTATGTGGTGGTGAGTAGCGCGGACGATGGCTTTGTGGTAAGGACAAGGGTTAGGGAGCAGAGTTCTATTCCCAGAGCTGCCACAGACTTCTTGTGTGATCTAGAGCAAGTCACTTAATCATTCTGGTCCACAGCTTCTCCCATCTGTAAAGTGGGTGTAATAATATTCCCATATCCCAATATCATAGGCCATGTACATGTTAGGACACACAGGCTGAGCAGGATTTCCAGCTTCCAACTCCAGCAAAACAGCAGAGATTCCCAAGGGTACATTGTATAACCTGCCCTGTTGTTCTGAGGATCACAAAATTACCAGGGGAGGAGAAAAAGGACAAAGTGTTCATGATCAATCACATCCTGCCCTCCTTGGGTCGTTAGACACCATTTCATCTAAGTCCAGGCAATTATCCAGTTCGTGCATAAATACAAGCCATGCCTTATAATGACTAAAGTATGAAAAAAGCCAGTACCCTGAAAGAGGGGAGCTCTCTTTTATCATAATGAAATCAAATAAAGCTTTCAGCCGGTGCACAGGAGAGATATTTATATACTCCGTCCTGAAAGGCAACGACTGAACAGCCAGCCCTACCCTGCTGCTGCTCTTGTGCAGATGAACCGAGCTCTCACTCTTCCCGAGAAGGGGTTGTTCTCTCCCTAGTGACTAACATGCTTAGTAGCATCCGCCCTAGGAGCGATTTGTTTAACGAGGCCAAAGCGCAGTCAGGTGGCAGAGGTCGGCAGACCGACCGCGCTAACTAGCCCTGCAGATCCAGCCTCCCCTTACGAGGGTTTCGGGCGCCAGGCCAGGGATGAGCAGGTCAGCCTGTTTCTCCCGTGCACTGCTAAGCCCGTTACCCCGCTCACTAGTTATAGTTGGTGGTCGGGATATCTGGGGCCAAGCGCGGAGCACTGATTTCGGGGGGGGGGGCTCTCTTGCCACCCTGCAATGACAGCTGCCCTGCCTCTGACCAAACTGCAAAAGTGCCCTCCGGCTGCACCCGCCCTCCCGCCCCAGGCCCTGGCTGCAGCCCCCACATTAACCTTCCCGCCGGAGCAGGGACTTTCCGTGCTTCTCTCGCTTGCCGGCCGGGGCCGCCCCTTGAGCATTACCCGCAAAGCCCCGTCCCTCTGCTCCCTGCTCTCCCCGCAGGCAGCAGCCCAGACACCCCACCCCCAGCCGGCGAGGCGAGGGAGGGGGCTCCCCCCTGCAGGCGCCACCCCGCTCCCCAGCCCGCCTGTTACCGAAGCTATCCTTGAAGTCTGGGGGTGGGGCGTCTCGCAGGGTCGGGGTCCAGCCCCCCTCCTCTTCCGCCTCCTTCTCCGTGGGGCCGGGGCTGCCGCCGCCGCCGGGAACCTGCTGCCGCTCCGCCGCCACCGCCCTGGGGACACGGCGCCCCCGGCCCCGGGGGACGGGCCCCTCCGCAGCCGCGAGCTGCTCCTCGTCCTCGTCCTGGGAGGAGGCGGAGCGGGAGTCGGCCGAGGTGCTGTAGAAGGGGTTCCCGCTGCTGTCCTGGCCCGACTCCCCGAACACGTCGTCCGAGATCTGCAGGCTCTCGTAGCGGGAGCGGGCCGCCTCCAGCAGGGACAGCGCCTTCCGCCGCGGCCCCCCGCCGCCGCCCTCCGCCATCATCCCCGCCGCCGCCGACAGCAGCAGCAGCCCCCGCTCCCCGCGGCCCGGCTCCGCCGCCTCGCCCGGCCGCAGGCAGCAGCCCAGTAGCGAGAGCGGCTCGGACAGCGAGGTAGGGAGGCAGGGAGTGGCAGAGCCGCCGCCGCCACCCAGCCCTGCCTCCCTCTGCCGCCCGCGCAACCCACCCCGGTGTGTGTGCAGGGACATGGGGGGAAGGAGCCAGCTCAGCATCTCCAAATACCACATCTAGCCAATTATAGCCGCAGTCCTCACCCAAGAGGTGGGGTTATATGGCAGCCCCGGCCGGCCTGACCCGCCCACGCCCCACCCCGAAGGGGCGGGTCTCGGCGCATTTAAAATCACAGAGCCTCTTTAGGAGAGCCGCCGCCGGGAGGGGAGGGGTCCCGCTCCGCCCCGCCCCGCCCCGCCCCCGGCTCGGTGAGACCCTGGAGGAGTGGAGGGAGTTTTTCCGCTTCTTCCCCCAGCAGAGCGCAGCCTTGCGGGAGCTGCGCTTCCTTGCCCACCCCTCAGCTCCCGCGGCGCACGGAGCTGTCCGCGGACAGGGGTGCTGAAGCCCACCCTCCCCAGAAGCCCCAGTGCAGCGTGCGCGTCCAACTTGCGGCTGAGACTTTTCATTGACAATGGGAAGAGACTGAAATCCCTCTAGGTCCCCGGGGTGTGGCAGTGCTTGTTACATAATGGCTGAGCGCCGGGAGGGGGATTGTGACAAGCAACAGGAATCAGTGGGAGAAGCAGGAAGGACACAGAAAAGCACACAGGCCCTTAAACCGAGTTGAGGTGTATGAGGGTCATAATGATCCTTATTCTATCACACCTTCTTCCTCCAAAATAGGATGTGCAATCGTTTTTGCTTGCATTAATCTATAGCTAAGGTTGCAAGTCACTTTCATACTGATGATAGCCACCTTAATGAAATATGAGTGCAAACCCTACTGAGCCTGGAAAAAATGGGAGGAGGGAAAAGGGCACACTCTCTATAGCAGTGGTCCCCAACCTTTTTCGCCACCACGGACCATGGCCGGCGGACAAGCATCCGCTGAAATGCTGCCGAGAAGCAGCAATGTCAATAGGTGTCGCCGCCGAAATGTTGCCGACAAGCAGCGTCATCCAGAGGCGTTATCAGCGGCATTGTGGAGGATGCTCGTCCGCCGGCCAGTACGTGGGCGCACATAGATGCCCTGGCAAGCACCTTGGCACCCGCAGGCACCACGTTGGGGACCACTGCTCTATAGGTTGCCCATGTGAGTACTTCAAGGATAGTTTTAGGGGTGTTTAAAAGCTACCACTCTGTAGTAAAATATTTCCCACTGACTTACTGGATAATTATGACAGTAAAATCTATACTGGGTGTGTTACAATTTACTATAGCAAATAATGCATTCTGAGCAGGGCAATAGTAAAACAAATACTACAAAACCAGCTGTAACTAAGGCCTACTACAACAAATGAATGTAAAGGAACACTATGTATAAACAATATATGGGGCCTGATCCACCTCTCATCAAAGTTAATGGAAGGATTCCCATTGAATCCAATGAGATTTGGATCCTGGCCATGGTGACTCAAAACCAACTCATCATGATCTCCATCATGTGGGTACACACAGTTAACAATTTTGTAACACCATAAATTTATTTTTTCACTGATCCAAAAACAGCTGGGATTAAGATTCACAGAGTTCACAGGAACTAGCTGTTTTGCACAACAGAATGACCACTGAAGAATAAACCTATAAGCAAGGGCTTGACTCTGTGAGTATGTCTACACTGCAGCTGGGAGCAAGCCCCCCAGCCTGGGTAGCCAGACTCAAGCTAATGGGGCTACTAGCACACTTAAAATAGCAGTGTGGATATTGAGTCTCTTGTGATTACTTGGGCTAGTCACTTGAGATCAAGCCTAGGGGGTTGAGTGGGCTTGAGTTTGGGAGACCTAGCACTCTGGCCCCAATCCAGCAAAGCACCTAAGCATATCTCTGTTTTGAATCATCTGAATAGATCCATTGACTACAGTGAGACTATGCACACACTTAAAGTTAAGCACGATTGCTTCCAAAATTGCAGGATTGGGGCCAGAACGTTCAGCACCTTGCAGGACTGAGCTTTTAAAATGCTTTTCTTGTGTTTAATGAATAATATGGTATAAAATAGCAGTTGTTCCAATAGGCATATACACACCTACAACTAATTTAAATAGCAATATGATGGCATAAGATAAAACAAAGTGAAGGAAAATAAATTAAATATAATTGAGATAATCATTTGAAGACTATGGAGTCACACAGTTATCTCTGAGGACATAACTGGAACTGCAAAAACTTTATTACTGGTGATGATGACTGGTGATGATGATTGATTCGCAGACGCCAGTTTGCTGTGCTGGCAGTTAGGAAATAAAATACTTGTATTTCTCCTTACAAATTGAATCTATTTTATATTGAATCCACAAACCACAATAAACATGGTTCCCCAGGATGCTATTCTTACAGAATAACTTTATATAGTAAAAACACACTTTAAAGGTGTTGGCAGGTTCTGCGTACTAAAGGAATTAGGAATTTAGTTTTGTTAGTCATCTTTAAGTGAGAAGTCTGATAGGGAAGTTGTTGACCACTACCTTCCATCTTTTGCAATCGTGACAGAGTTTGTGATGTAGCTGGCTCTCTTTCTTCCTCTTCCTGGTTTGCCTGCAATCCTAACTGATAATATGAGTGCCAGAATCAAGTTGCTGTGTGCTTAGAAAGCAATGTGTCTGCAGAAAGATGTTATTCTCTACCTAGGATCTCAAGGAACTGTGTAATTTTCCAGTAGCTGATATTATACAGGATAACCAGTTACCCACATCACTGCACCCATTAGTCTATTTTACATTGTCCTGCTTGGGTACAAGGCAATGCTGATTGCCAGTCAGATTACAACGCTACGTTGCAGATTTAATTATGCAGATTTCCACATCTGGTGGTGAGTTACTAGGGGGTACTGTTTCACACTGACCCCCCAACTATCTTCTGTGAGCAAATGCCCTTGACTGTTTAGGGTTCATGCGTCTTTTCAGAATTCTTTCTGGCAGTGGTTAGGATTGGCTGCTAGTTTATTTAATGGTGGCCTATGTTCACCATGTCCAATGCCATCTTTGGGCTTTTGTGGTATTTTATAAGGGCAGCAGTTTCATCTGCTGCTCCATCATGCCCTGTTAGTACCGACATCAGATTGTCCATGCCCTGCTTATTCAACAGGTCTCCCTGCTTATATCACACCTAGCCTTCATATATGAATGCTGTACTCCTATTCACAACCCATGGATGTTTTCAGTGGCAAATGCTGCTGCCTCTGGGAAGATTACCCAGCCCTGAGTTTTGTTAGTAATATGGAATTCTCAGCACAGATAGTACAGATTTCACCCCAGTTAAGAGGGTATGCTTAGGGTCTCTGCAGAGTTTGGGGGAGATGAGTGTTGAAGGGGCTGCATGTGGGGGGGAGGGTCACCACACCTCCTTGTTAGTAGAACTTGTCAGCAGGAAGGTATGGCAGGACAGGGAAAGGGAAGGTCTACTAGACATAGTGGACTCCCCCTGCAACAGGTGCAGGAGAGCAGCTCACAGGATGGAGTAATGCCCATAGAAGAGCTGCTCTGCAAGTTAAAGGATGGAGTTTGCCTCCCAGGCCTTACCCACTTCAACCAAAGAGTTGAAGCAAGCGCTGGATTAAGGTATAGGCACAATAGGCACGTGTGTAGGGCCTCAACTCCTAGAGTGCTGTGTTGATGTCAGAATTTTAGCTCTCTTTTAAAAAATGTATCTTTTTAGGCCTTGTGGTTGTGGAGGAGAATATGAGCAGAGCATAAACAATGCAGTGAGGTCTGCATGAGTTTGCAAACAGCCTGAACAATAGTTCTGAGAGGGCTGAACTGTGCTATTCACCTTACTGGGTTATTAATGCTGAACCCCCCCCCACCCCGTTCTAGAAGGCCCACCCCTCCACAGCAGAAGATTGAGGCTAGGGAGGGTCTGGCCCTTGCTACTTCCAGTCCATCATGATTCTGCTGGGGTGATGTCAACAGTCTCCACCCACTCCTACAAACATGCAGAGCTCTTTGCTGGCCTTCCCTCCTCCAGGACAGATGCCAGCCCACCTAAAACCAGGAAATGGTAGCCCTGGGAGGGGGGATAATCTGGCCTGCCCAAAGAGGAGTCTTTGGGGGCCCTTCCCACCAGCAGAGCAGACAGCTCTTGTGTGAGTGTCCCCTGCACTTACCACTCCAAGTAGGTGTGAGGGTGGGGCCTCAGCTCTGAGGCTGCCCAGGGGGGTTTCCCTGTTGGGATGCCTAGCCTTCTAGCTTGCCTTAATGGGGCCTGGCACACAGCTTTTCATGCATTCCTGTCACATCACACGTGCAGACCACTAACTAGATTACTATGACCTGAAATGCGAGTTTAAATACTGTCCGAACTGAGTTGTCTGAAGTGTTAGTAGTAGGAAAGGCAGGTTAGATAGATAAAATGGATCAGGTCAGGCTTTTTTTTTTAAATGAAGAAAAAATCATCAGGGGTTTCTTTAATTGAACTAACTAAATATAAAAGCCTTATGGAACATTGTGAATAAAGTCCTGCTTTCCTCTGGGTTACTTATAGTGGTGTTTAGCTGCTAGGAAAGGACCACTCCAGTAAACTGAACATTGTATCCATGACAACCCACAGTTCAGCTTTTAACTCCCCACACATAAAATGTTAGGGTTTATTTTACATTCTTCTGTTTTTATTACAATAGCAATAATGATCTCCGGCTGCATTTCCAAAATTTTCCTCACCTTTTTAAACAAGTCATTAAATGTCTAGGAATTTCCCTGTGACCTCCCCAGTCTGGCAACATACTCCTTAAATTAAATCATAAAATCTTTTGAGACTCTCACTTATTTCATCAGACAATGCAAAGCAGAGTACACGGAGCAGAGTGACAGCATGTTAAATCAGACACTCCATTAAATTCAGATATTCAGTTTCCACATTTTAGGATCTAATCCTGCTCCAATTACAGTCAGTGGGCGCCTGATCCCACTCTCTTTGAAGGCAAAACTCCCATGGGAGTGGGATCAGGCCCTTATTTTGTTATTCAGTTTGGCTATGTATACACTGCGAGCTAGCTGTGTGAATCCCCCACTTGTGTACACGTACTCATGCTAGCTCTCATCAAGCTAGCTCAAGTATAAATTGTAGTGTCACCACGGAAGCAAGGGTAGCAGCAGTGGAGGCATAGCTGAGTCTTGCTGAGTACATTCCCACCCATTTC